TTAAGTTTTAATTTTTGTTAATTTTTAGATTTAAACTTATCTTAGATTCAAATAAACCCATCTTAGGTTTAAATAAACTTAGCTTGGATTAAATAAACTTGGCTTGGGTTTAAATAAACCTGACTTGAGTTCAAATAAACAAACCTGTATTAGGTTTATTTAAACATAAATAGAATTAAATAAATCTAAATTAGATTTAAATAAACCCAAGTTGGGTTCAAATAAACCTAAATTAGATAAATAAGCCCAAGTTAAGTTAAATTAGTTTATCTACAATATAATTTTATTTGATTTTTATTTAATTTTTTTTTAATTTTTTTTTATATTTATATTTTTTGTTATTTTTAATTTTTTAATATTTTTTAAATTAATTTTTTTAATTTTTTTATTTTTTTAAATTAATTTTTAATTTTTTTTATTAAAATTTTGTTTTTTTAAATTAAAATTTTTTTAATATATTTCTTAAATTATTTTTAATTTAATTTAATTTAATCTATTTAATTTATTTAATTTATTTATTTTAATTTAATTAATTTAATTTAATTTAATTTAATTTAATTTAATCTATTTAATAAGGATTTCAGCACTTCTAATCAAAACTCTTTCTGATGATCATTTGGACCAAAATTCCTATAAAAGAAAAGAAAAGTCAAGTTTGGATACTAGAAAAGTAGAAAAGTTCTATAGTAGGTGGACAACAGTGCAGTTTTTATAAAGGTCAACCTTTTGTGCTTTTATGGTAACTTCTTGTGGCAGATTAAAATGAAATTAGATTAAAATAAAATTTTCTATTTTTTTAGAAAATTTTAAAATTTTTTGGGTGATATTTTTTAGGGTTAGAGTTAGTGTTAGTGTTAGGGTTAGAGTTTAGAGTTAGTTTTATTAATAAAAGAGTATAAGTGTGTTTTATAAGCTTTAAAGATAAGCAAGAAAGGTTCCCAGTCTTATTTTAATCTGATTTCATTATGATCTGCAACACTTCTTTATATATTTGATATGCAAGCCAAAAGCATCTTTATACAAGATAACTGGTTGGGGAAGTGTGCTCTTGTATATGAAATTTTGATAAAGATTATGAGATTTCTCCATTGACAAAGCAATCTGTTGCAAAATAACTGGAAACAGTGAAGAACTTGCTAATCTCAAGCCACACTCTTTTATTCGGCCAAGTGACTCCTTTCTTACTCATTTTCACTTTTTTGCCAGCCTTCTAAAATTTTTTCAAAAAAGTAAAAATTTGGCTTACCTCCTTCAAAAGATCAGTATTGTTTATTTTTTATTTTTAGATGAACTCGGTAGATTGCAATTACATGTTTGTTTATTTGAAAATACAAAGCTATTCCAAATGAAAAAATTGGGTCCTGGGTTAAAGAGATATCTGATAAGACATATTAAATCAAAAAGAAAAGATTATATTAGAGATATATAATAGTTGCATTTGTTATATAATTTTTATCAGCCTGGCATGAGTTATAATAGTTCATTTGTATTTCTTTTATATATATCATGCTACTTTGTCGCTTTTTGTACTTCTTCTATCTTTTTCCCTTTATGATGAAATCTTATTTAGAATATACTTTTTTGTATATATTTCTTTTTTTTGTTTTTGTCTCTTTCTTTTCTAAATTTTATTTTTCTTTAGTAAATTCAGCATATATTTTTCTTTATAGAAAAGTAAGAGATAAACTATTCTGCCTGGATCTAGACAAGAAAAGTTTATAAAAAGAAATAGATAGTCATGATGGGTTAGTAGATTCTGAACAGTGATATGTGGATCCGAAATCTAAGATAGATCTAGGAGAAACAAGGAGGCTGCTTCTGCTCTGGCAGGTCACACACAGGTCTAATTGAAAACTAGATGAATTACACTTTAGTATAAAATAGCTTGGCTATAATTTGATATTCAAATATAAAAATTTGTTCTGTCTATATTAAATAATAAAGTTGTAGTATAATTGCTTGGAAAAAAAAAATTTTAATTTATTTAATATGATAAATCTAGACAGTATACTTATGCAGTTTGTGACTTTATAGCAAAACTAATAAAAATTAGAATTGGAGTAGAGTATTAAGATTAGGTTAAAGTTAGATTAGAGTTAAAGTTTAAAGTTAGTATAGAGTAAAATTGTAAGAGGAATATTTTTGCTAGTTATACAACAGGTTACCCTAGTAAAATTTTGTAATATTGGTAATTTTTAACAATTTTTATAATAAGGAGTACAAAGTGCATGAAGCACTGTCTATTGCTATTCTTAATTTAATTTAATTAATTTATTTAATTAGTTAATTTAATCTATTTAATTTAATTTAATTTAATCTATTTAATTTAATTTATTATTTTTTTAAATCTTATTTAATTTAATTTAATTTAATTTAATCTATTTAATTTAATTTAATTTAATTTATTATTATTTTAACTCTAATTTAATTTAATTTAATCTGTTTAATTTAATTTAATTTATTATTTTTTTAAATCTTATAATTTATTTTCTTTATTTTAATTTAATTTTTTTAAACTTTTATTTAATTTAATTTAATTTGATTTAATTTGATTTTTAAATTGAATTTAATTTAATTTAATTAATTTAATTTATTATTTTTAATTATATTTAAATTTATTTTTAAATTTAGTCTATTGTTTTTAAATCATATTTACTTTAATTTAATTAAATTGAATTTATTATTTTTTTAATTGTATTTAATTTATATTACTTTATTTTTAAAGTTAATTTAATTTTATTTGTTTTTTTAAAAACTATATTTAATTTAATTTATTATTTTTAATCATGTTTAATTTATTTTTAAATTTAGTTTTTAATTTAATTTAATTTTATTTGTTTTTTTTTTAATCTTGCTTAATTTATTTTACTTTATTTTTAAATTTATTTAATTTAAATTGGTTTTAAATTATATTTAATTTAATTTGATTTAATTCAATTTTTTTAAAATCGTATTTAATTTAGAACAATTTTAATTTGCGCTACTGGTTAACTTTAACCAGATGGTTATAAATAATTATTAGTTAGTTATAACTAGTGATTATTTTTGCACCACTTGTTAACTTTAACTAGATGGTTATAAATAATCATTGGTTAGTTATAACTAGTAATTATAGTCAAACCTCCATAAATGTAATGTATCGGATTTGTCAACCAAATTCATGTTTCAATCAAATTCGTATATTTTGATCTATTATTGATAATTCGTGATATAGTGATTCAATTTTGATAATTTTGATACCATTCGAATTCTCTTACTGTGAGGATTCGAATGGTATCAAAATTATCAAGATTGAATTACTATATCACAAGTTATCAATGATAGATCAAAATATATGAAGTTGATTGAATTACGAATTTGGTCGACAAATCTGATATACAGACTAGCTTCAATCGTGCATTTAGGGAGGTTTGTATTTAGAGAAAGCCAATCAAATTGCAGTTTTTAATGTTTGATCTGCAGGCTTGTATAACACAACTTGAATACTGAATTCTGATTGGCTACGTGTATTTAGAGAGGTTAGTATGATATAGAAAATTTTTTGAGTGAATGTGCATTTAACACAAATAATTTTTTATAGCTAGGCCAAAAACGTGTATTTAGAGAGGTATTGCATTTATGGAGGTTGTATTTATGGAGGTTTGACTGTATTTATAAATTACTATAAATATTATATAATATAAATTTAACTGCAGCTATTATAACTATTTGTATTTACTAATATGTAGTAATAAAGTTTTATTAGTTTGTAATATTTATCGTAATTTACTACATATTAATGCTAATTAAAGTTTATATTACAATATCTATTGTAATTTACTATATATTAATGCTAATTAAAGTTTACTTTTTTTGTTGCAATTTACATGAGCAAATATTATGTCTTTGTATATGACAATTAGAGCAAGTATATCCATGCTTAGAATTTTTTTTTGATTTAAATTCTTATTAATAGTTCATAATAGTCTAGTTTATAATAGTCTTTTGCTTTCCAATTCTAATACAATTTTTTGGCTTAAACTTGGTCAATTTTTAGTTTGAATAGTATTTTCTTGATCATTTTCTTAATTATATTCTTAATCATCTTGATTATATTCTTGATCATATTTTTGATCATCTTTTTAATCATCTTCTTGATCATCTTCTTGATTATTTTCTTGATTATTTTCTTGATTATTTTCTTAATCATTATTATTTTGATCCAGCAATTCATTAATATTTGATTTAGAAGTAGTAAATGAGACTTTTGAAATTTTTCTTTTTTGTTGTATAAACTAATAGCATCAATTATTTAATTCTTCATTTGTTTCAGTTTCTATTGCTAAAGTTAAAACTGATTGTAATAATGCATAACTTTACTATAATGTATTCTATCTTGAAAAAACTTTTTATTTAGCTTTTTAGATTCTGAAGCTTTATGTATAAGAGTAAGTTTTCAAATTGATTAGATAAAATAGGTTAATTTAATAAAATAGGTGCAGATATAATTGCAGATAAAGATTTATTATAATGTAGTCAAATTGCTAAAATATGATCAAAGCTTTCTTCCAGTTCATTAAGATAAATATCTTTATGTCAGCGTTGCATTATAAAAGAATATGAAAAATAGCTGTACTTGATTTTAAAAAAACAGCAAAATGTATTCCCACTAATTATATATTAACCATTCAAATCTAGGTGAGTCTTGACCACTCTAGTAGGTTTAGGTCACAGATAAATTAGTCTGAGCTTTTATTCTTGCATGTAGTTTATATTTATTCATTTATATATGAATTAAGTCTTTATTTAGTTTTGTTTCTTTATAATTACTTATATAAATTACTCAATAAAGATATGAGCAAGGCCTCACCTTTTAACACCAAACAAAAAAAAAAAATAGCAAAATAATGCTAACATGGAATTCCATAGCAAAAAGGCCAAGTACATATACATAAAAATGATCTATTGTGAAATAAGACAATATAGTGAATATTTGTTGAACTTGTAAGTCTAACAATGTATCAAGCTTCTTTAATACTATCATATAATATATTATATAAAAGTGAATTAAGATGAATTTGTTGAGAAACATAATTATCTTCAATACAAGTATTTATAAAATCTGGTTTACTAGCACAATGTTCTTCTAAAATATTAAATAAAGAACATTGATACCAAAGTGCTTATTGAGTTTGTTGCTTTATTTTAGCAATTATATGAGGTGTAAGATATTTTTCACATAATGCAATAATTTTAGGGAACAATGTTTGACTTATTAATTGTAATCCACAATTATTAAAAATTAAAGTTTCTTGAGAATGACTATATCTATTTTCTTGATCAAGTCATTCTTGAATTGTATTATCTCTTAAAACATATTTGTATGCTAAAATTTTTAGTGGCTTATTTTTGCACAATTACTCCAAATTTTATTATGCCTCAACCCCATATTTTTTAAGCTAAAACAGGAGTATACTATGTGCTAATTATCATATATTTATTGTTTTGTGAAATTTTCTTAACAATATCCTACAAATCATCAAGGTAAGGCTAGTCAATATAGTCTTTACGGTCAAATTTAATATTAAAAAAGAAACCTGCACGTGACAATTATGAAAATTTTTTATAATTGTCACGTGCAAATTTTTTTTATTACAAATATTAAAGTTGATCAAAGAACCTTTGCGACCAACTTTACCGAGATGATTCTTGTAACATTACTGGAGAGATAATATGACTCAAATATTCAGGCCAAATGGTATATTTTACATATATTGTGAAATTTTATGCCCTTCGTTTGAATCATTTTAAACATGCCACACTGCGGCAGTGGAGTTTCTCATGTGACACAAGTTTTTGGGTGTTACTATGGCCAATTATAGTAAAAAATTTCATAAAAAAATTTTTTTCTAGTTCAACTTTTGTTTAATTATTTTAGCGTACATATTTGTATGCTAAAATGTACGGTTTAAGAGATATAACTTGATTAAAGTTGATGATTGATTAACACATTTCTTAATAATATTATTATATCATTTTACACATTGAGTACTTTGAATACCAGTATTAAAGATCTGTGTTGTAAAACAGTGAGCCCAACTTTTTTTTAACTGATAAAATTTTTTTAAATAATTACCTATATTAGGTTATATTTCAATTAGCTGCTAATATCTACTTTTGTATACAGGTACTTGTAGTGCATTCTATATAGTATAAAAGCTACTCACAAACTGATTATACTGTTTATCAAACTTTGATTGAGCCTTTTTTTTAATATTATTACCAATGTGAAATATACAAAGATAGTGGTAAGCTAATAGAAAATTTGTAGAAATCGCTGCAACTATTGCATGATCTGAATCAGAAAAAATAACACCAGGTTCATAAATAGAATTCCTTTTTTAAGGCATGTAAAAAGCCAATTAAAAGAGTCCATGAATTCATCTAGCAATAATACTTGAGCAATTAATTTGCTACTTGTATTATTATCAACTACAAATCAAAGCTAATGGTCATCGATATCAGTTAGTTTTACATGTTGTATTCAATAAACAACCATTATTAAATCTTGATATTAACTGCACTTGTTCATCTGATTGCTAGAAAATATCTCTAAGTTTATTATTAACATCACCAATAACAGGCTCAATTACACAACCAGGGTTTAATATTTTTTGTCATAAAAGGTAATAAATAAATCAGCTGTATTATTTTTAAGTCTTTTATTTGTACCTTTTAATGACTTATTATATTATAAATATTTTGTGGCTTAATAGAATGATTAAAATATTCATTTTCAAGTAAGTTAATTATTTTACTAGGTTAAATACTATATTTGTAGTATAATTCAACTTTATTAATCATTTCATTAGTTAATCAGCAATATCTTGGAGCATTTCTTTTAATATTACTATCTATTAAATAATTGTAAACTGAATCATCAAATAAAGAACAGCGAATTTCTGTTGCTATATTATTAATTAAAAAATTACAATGCTATTTACAATTTGTAACTGCTGCATTATGATTATGTTGATCATCAGGATCTATTTTTTTTTAGGTTTCTATTGTCCAGACAAATAACACACCCAAGTTGCATTTCATACTAACCTATCATCACATGTACGAGTACATCTCTTCATAACTGCAAATTCATATTTCATTACATATTGGTCAAGTTTTTTCTAATTTCTTCAAATGTTTTAAAAGTATCATTAACATGTATATACAATACATATATTTATGCTAATTGTCATTATCCATACTATCACTTTCGAATCAAACAATTCAAAAAAATTTGAATATTTGATTTGAAGTTGTGAGTAGTAGACATCTTGTTAACTATCAAACATGGGTTTTGAAAAGTTGGTAAGTCGATATTCAAAAGATTTAATTCTGAATGATAATTATGCTTCTAAAAAGAAAAAGAATTTATAGTCATTAAGTCTAATACTACAAAAATAACATAACCTACATAGTATTAAATTAAAAAAAATTTGATATGTCAAGTTGTATAGAAGTATACCATTGATATATCAATTTTTTTAAAATTCATATTGTATTAAAATTTAACTAACCAAAGGTAGCCCACTTCTAAGAAAATCAGACAAACTGGTAACAGTACTTTCAAATGTATTATTTACAGACCAATAAGCCTTAAATAATATTAAATTCATATTAGAAATGCTTGTTATCTTTGTTTAACTACATTATATCTAACTATCAACTAACCTGATATGGGTTTAAATTAGTGCTATTAGGTAAATTACTACTTACAAAAAAACCAGTTTCATTTATATTACTTAAAGAAGTAGATTCATTCATTTTAATGTTTTTATATAAATTATTATTGGAAGGATTGGCTAGCCTATTTACATTAAAGGAATAATGAGTCTAAATAAAGTTTAAATAGTATAATTAGTATTTTTGTTATAACACTTTAATAGTAATGTTGTAAAAAAAAATCCAACTAACTTGAGGTGGGTATAAGCCATGATTCAAATAAGTCAAGGTGGGGGCTTTATATAGTGATTTTTCTAATACTTTCCCTTCTTCTAAATCAAGCTCAGTTGCTCTAACACTTTTAGATAAAATAATAGTATCTTTAAAGAAACCAGGTTGTTTATTATGTATATCAAAAGAATGATGGGTCTTTAATAGTGTTGAATTAGTATTAACTACATTGACAATTATATTGAACCAATTTCAACTAACATTTTAACTAATCTAAAGTGGCTTTAACACAGTATTTTCAGGAGAGCCAAGTGCTTCATGACTATAAGCTAACATAGGTGCTTTAATAGCACTAAATTAGTATAAGCCTTAATCAAAGCTATTTACACCAAAATTCCAATATCTCACTATCATTGTTACAAGCATTAAAATTCATTACAATAGAAAAAATGCTGTATTACCAAAAAAAACTTTTATAGTTGATCATGATTAGTTTTATATAAACATATGGGGTCTGGTAAACAAAAACATGGTTTATAGCATTTTTTTGCAAAATAGAGTTAATGATACTATTGTATAAAGTGGCTATTTTTCTATATAATTTAAAATTAAACCATCGATTTACATAATAAAATTTTTATTGATGCTTACTTTTTTAAATATTATATATAATAAAATGTGATCTAAAATTAGATTTTGTAAGTTCTGTTGTAGATCATTGCTGCAGAAACATCATGTGATTGATCAAATTGTGTTGATCCAACAGGTTTTACTAATAATAGATGTTTATTGTTATTGTTATACTAAATTTTAAATATGTTTTTTCAAAAATAGAAAAAAATCTATAAGCCATGTTTTTGTTTGCCGGACTCTATATATTTATGATCAATTTCACGTGAACATATTTGCAAGAGTTTTTTTTGAAAAAAAAATTAAATGGTTATAATTAACTATTTACTATTATGGTTAACTATAACTACTGGTTCAAGATATAATAATTCTTAATTTAATATAATTTAATTTTATTTGTTCTTTTTTAAAAACTATACTTATTGTGTTATTTTAATCATGTTCAATTTATTTTTAATTTTATTTTTAATTTAATTTTATTTAATTTGTTTTTTTTTTAATTTTGATTAATTTATTTTACTTTATTTTTTAATTTAAATAATATTTAATTTAATTTAATTTATTTAAATTTTTTTTTAAAATAATATTTAATTTAATTTAATTTATTTTTAATTTATTTTACTTTATTTTTAATAATTTAGTTTATTTTTTTAATTGTATTTAATTTAATTTAATTGAATTGAATTTATTATTTTTTTAATATTTAATTTATATTACTTTACTTTTAAATCTAATTTAATTTTATTAGTTTTTTTTTAAAACTATATTTAATTTATTTATTATTTTTAATTATATTTAATTTTTATTTAAATTTTGTTCATTTTTTTTTAATTTAATATTTTTTTTAATTGTGCTAAATTTATATTACTTTGTGGTCTAGTTGTCACCCTTACCAAACGTTATGGGAAGATCTCATGTTCAAATCCCAGAGACGGCGCTTTTGTAATATGGGAAAAGTCTGCGATGATCTTCACTAAGGTTGGCCCATGGAGGATCTGTCGAGACGGTGTCTGGTGGCACCGTTGAGGTGATTCCGGAAGGC